TGTGCACACACCGTAGGAGCAACACCAACACCACACACGTGTGCACACACTGTGGGAGCAACACCACCACCACACACGTGTGCACACACTGTAGGAGCAACACCAGCACCACACACGTGTGCACACACCATAGGAGCACCACCAACACCACACACGTGTGCACACACCGTAGGAGCAACACCACCACCACACACGTGTGCACACACTGTGGGAGCAACACCAGCACCACACACGTGTGCACACACCATGAATAGGGGCACATGCACCCTACAAGCGTGCACACCCCTTTAATAGGGGTTCACACACCCCACAAGTGTGCACCCCTCCACGTGCACCCCTCCCCACGCATGCAGCCCTATGCACTCATGCACGCGTGCATACATACGTGTGCACACACACACGTGTGCACATCCAGCAGGGGCAGCTACATTCCCATAAGCATTTGTGGCCACTGCTGTATTTTGGGTTCCAGCTCTGCCCCAAAGCTGCCCCTTCCCCTCAGCCCCCCACCCCAAGACCAAATGGACCCCATGTGCAGCCCCAACGTTCACAGAGGTAACAGGGAAGCAAAGGCTGGAACAGAGAAAGGAAGGTTCATTACTGCTAATTAATGGGGTTAATTGCACATGGAGCTTTGTGGTGGGCTCAAGCCTCCTTGGTCACACAGGGTAACCCAAACTGCCCCCCTCCATGATCATCCTGGGGGTGGGAACCATGCAGGGCCCTGTTGGACATGGGGATGGGGAGCACTCAGGATGGGGGGGGGATGTGGGGAAGGTTCACCCCACGGTGGGGCTGGGGATGGCCACAAAAGGGCTTTGTGTCCCTCAGCTCCCCTGTGCCTCAGTTTCCCCATCTGCAGCTTCAGGAAGCACACTGGGACGGGGGAGGGATGCTGGGAATGTTCCTGGTGACACTGGAGCAGCACAGCTCTAGGAGTGCTGGTGCATGTCTCACATCCCCTGTCCTTTTCCACCAGTGTCCCTCTGGCTCCAGACTGGAACCTGACCAGTTTGAGACTCCACATTAACCCCTTCACCTCCGTGACGCCGCTCTGCCTCTTCCAACTCTCACCCCTCCTCCTGTCCCCACTGCAGCCACCACTGATGGGGTTGAGCGTGGGGCCACGTCTGCAGCCCGTTGGATGTGGGGACACCCCCAGGCTTCCTGCCATGTCCCCCCTCCAGGACCCCTGGGACAACTGGGAATACATCTACAAAATAAGCCCAGACTGTTTGCTTAACCACCCCAGCATCAAGTTCACCACGTCTGCGCTCATCACCACTGACATGGGGATGATCCTGATCAATACCTTGAAGCCCATGGAGGTGGTGACCCCCACAGCTCTTTCCCTCACCTTCACCTTTTCCCCATCTCTTTTGGGGCTGTGTAAAACCCCACAGCTCCGTTTGCAGGAGTAGCATTGCCCCAACGAGCACCACGTTCCCATCTGGGCAGGGAGGCTGTGCATATCAGCTGCTGGAGAACCCACCAGGTGTCCTGGTTTGAACTCTTGGGGACCCTGCTGGTGCCCTGGGGTGGTGGCCATGTGTCCCTCGGTCCTACCCTGTGTCCACTGGCACAGAGGTTTCTTTCTGGTTGTTCTGGAAGGGGAGGGCTGTGATGAGCCAGGCAGGAGGGAGGCCTTCAGCATGTCTCCATCCCCGTGTCCCTCCATCCTTCCATGTGTGCACCCCCTGTCCCTGCCCCTCTCTGACTGCCTCCTCGTTTCTCTGCATTTATGAGTCCCTTAATCCCCCCATCCCTCTATGTGTCCCCCCATCCCTGTGTCCCCCCATCCCTGTGTCACCACATCTTTGTGTCCCTCGGTCCTTCCATCTCTCCTTCCTTCCATCCCTCTATTATTGTGTCTCTGCATCCCTGCATCCCTCCATCCCTCTATCCTTCCATCCCTGTGTCCCTGCATCCCTCTGTCCCTCTGTCCTTCCATCTCCATGTCCTGCATCTTTATGTCCCTTTGTCCTTCCATCTCTCTGTCCTTCCATCCCTCTATCATTGCATCCCTGCATCCCTTTGTCCCTGTGTCCCTCTGTCCTTCCATCTCCACGTCCCTCTGTCCCTCATCCTTCTGTCCCTCCATCCCCACATCCCCGTGTTCCTCCATCCCTCTGTCCTTCCATCTCTATGTCCTTCTGCCCCTCCCTTCTTCTGCCCCTCCATCCATGCATCCATCTGTCCCTCCGTCCCTCCGTCCTTCCTTTGCTATCTCCTTCCATCCCTCCATCCTTTCGTCCTTCTGTCCTTCCATGTCTGTGTCCCTCTATCTCTCCATCCTTCCGTCCCTCTGTCTGTCCATCGCTGCGTCCTTCTGTCCATCCATCCCTCCCCGCTTCCCCGCCGTTCCGAAGCGGTTCTCAGCCCTCTGCTGCCGTCTCCAGGACAGAGAGGGAAGAGCCGCTCTCGGACACGGTTTAAATTTTGGATGGTGCTGCGTATGGATCCAGGAGCTGCACTGAAAGATCCCAGTGGATCCCACTCGGGATATTCTGTGGTTCTTTGCTGACCCTCACATGGGGTGGCACTCAGCCCCCCTCCTCACCCCACAGCACTGCTGGAACATCTTCCACTTCTTCCTGGTGGCTTTCCTTGTGCTGATCCTTCCCTGCATCATCTTTATGGCAGGGAAGGCACCGACATTTATCACCTCGCCATTGTCCATGATGATGATGGTCCTAAATGAACAACTGAAGGTGAGATGGAGCAGGAACCCAGGGCTGGAGGGGTTCCTCTGTAGAGTACAGAGGTGGGGGCACAGCCTGCCAGCCCCAGCATCTTCCACACTCCAAATCCCCCATCCCAAGGGTTGACACCTTCCCAAACGGCCCCGATTTGGCTGAAGTTGGCAGCAGTTGCCACCTCCCCATGGTGGGACGATGGAGGTCTGGCTGAGCTGAGCTGCCAAGCCGTGCTGTGCTGCTGCCAAAGGGACGTGGTGTCCTGCAGTGCTGGCAGCTTGGTGCCTTTGTGTGCTGCCCCAAAGTCCCAGGGCTGCTGTAGACAAATATCTGCTCCGGGTTGGAGGATCAGGGCAAGATGTTGGACCCTGAGCTGGGTCCCCTGTCTGTAGCAGGGGCTGTGGGGCTGGTGGGTGCTTGTGTCCGTCTGTTGGGTTTGTAGGTGGCTTATTTGCAAGAAGGATCTTCAGTGGACGTGAATGATAGCAGCCAAAGGCTGGGAGAGTGGGGTGAGAGCAATGAAAAGGATGACAGCGATGAGGAGGGGAAGGAGGAGGAAGAAGAGGATGAGGAGGAGAACGTGTCCCACAAAAGGAATCTAGCTGTTGAGTGGCCTCAGGATTAAACCGTGGGTCAGTTGTGGGTAAAACTACCGAGATTTGGGATCTTGGGGGTCAGATCTGATGCTGATTCCCCCCCTCAGGCTCCTGTTCAGCACAGAGCATCGGCTCCCCTCAATCCCTGCGCTGCGTTTGGGGCGGGCGAGGGGTGCGCAGCCCCCGGGTAGGAACTCACCGGAGTTCGGGGTGGGGGGGGGCCTTAAAACAAAGGAAAAAACAGATAATTCAGTGGCGGTTCCGATCCCGATCCCTTCCGCGGATCCCGAGCAGGTGGTGCCAACGAGGCCCCGCCCCCTGATTTGCATACGACGTTTCCCCGCCCCTCCCTCTCCGCTCGGCCCCTTTAAGGCCCCTCCCCGCCGGGCGCCGCGGGCTGCTGGGGGGCGGAGCTCCGGAAGTGGCAGCCAATCAGCGCGCGGCATTTTCCGCGGGAAATCCGAATTTCGCGGCACGGCGTTTGGCGCTTAAAGGGAGGAAGGGAAAAAAAAAAAAAAAAAAAAGAAAGCGAAGGAAAAGGACAAGGAAGGAGGGGACCGGGAAGGGGGGGGGACACCGAACCGCGCCTTCCCCGGGCCGCTCCCGTTGCTCCTGGTCCTACCGGCCCCATCCGGGCCGAGCGCGGGCGATTTTGGGGCAGAACGCGCCTTTTCCGTCCGGTTCTGCCGCCGGCCCCCCCGCCCCGCCTCCCTCCCTTTTGACTTTCCGGGCTGCTCTTTTTCCGCGTCCAGCTGCCCCCCCCAGCCCCAAAATGCAGCCGGAGAGGTTGTGACCCCCCTCCCCCCCCCAACCTCCAGCAGTGCTTTGTCGTGTTCCTTCCCCCCCCGCACCCCGGGGGCCGGGCTCTCGGCACGCACCTCGCCATGCTGCGGCTGCCCCGGGGGCTGTCACCCGCTGCGGGGGGGGGCACGGCCGTCCTGCCCCCCGCTCTCCACCACCACCGCCTTCCGAAGAAAACGGCGATGGGATCGGCGGAGCCGGGGGGGGCTGCGGTTTTGGGCAGCCCCCCGGTGCCCAACGCCTGCTGTAGCCGTCCGTACCCCCCCCGGCTCTACGCCACCCCTCAGGGACCCCCCCAGCTCAGGACGCTCCGATCGGCTTCTGCGGGACGGCTGCCGGTAAGGTGCCCCCCCCCTCCCCACCTCCATCCCCTCGTTCCCTCTTGCAGCTTTAGAGGGCTGTTGGGAAGGGTCCATAGGGCTGTGCATGGAGGGAAGCGTGGGGGGGAGGGCGGGCCGTGCAGCCCCCCCATATGGGCTGTGCTTGGGGTTATGCACCCCCCGGGGGTCCCCTCGCAGTGCTGGGTGGGGGTGGGTGCGGCTGGAAATCAGAAGTGGCCGCGAAATGGTGCGGGTGTTGCTCAACTTCCCCCCTTCCCCCCCCCCCCGCCCCGTCCCGGCTTCCTCTTTGCGCCTTTATCTGCCCTTTTCCCTCTCTTGTTGCGCCCCCAAACCCATCCGAGCTCCCCACGTGCTAAGGGATATCACCCCCTGGGTGCACCCCGACCCCCATGGGATGAGGGACCGTGAATGCTGGCAGGGGGGAGCTGGGCTGGCTGGAGGCATAGGGGCTTTCTGGGGTGGGGGTGCTGGTGACAGCTGTGTCACCACGTCCCCGAGCTCCGGGCTGTGCTGTCAGCCCTGTGCCCCATATCGGGGTGGGTTCTCTCGGGGGCCCCGCTGGCAGCTGGGGTTGGCATTTAATCCCGTCGGTCCCCGGGCGTTCGTCCAGCCTTCTCTGTGCTCCTCTGTTCTCCTGGAGCCATCCCAGGCTCCGCTGCTGCCGTCGGGTTTGCAGGGCTTGGGGTCGGTATTCATCCCCCTCCTGCGGCCGCTGCTGCTCGGTGCCAGCTGGGGAACAAGGGAGGGGGATTCTCTTCCCGCTGTGCTGTGCGTGGTCCCATTGGGGGGGGGCTGTAGGGCAGCCCGTTCCTTCCCCTCCCCTCCCAACACTTGGTTGCCTTTGTTTGCAAACAGCATGGGATATTGAGAGACACACGGTGCTCCCCCCTCCCCAAAAACACCCCCAAGTGCAATGCATGCAGTCCCACGTGCTGCTGCAGAGCTTGGTTTGGGTCACGTCCCACCACGCACACCGTGCCCCATAGGCAGGAGATGCTCAGGGTGCTCCTGTCCCTTGTGTGGGGGTTTGGGTGACATTTAGGGACCCTGATGCTGGCTGGTGGCTGTGATGACATGGCTGTGCTCCTGGGTGCAACCTTTGTGTGCAGAGCTGGGGCAATTGGATAAGGAGCTTTTCCACCCCATTCCCCAATGGGGCCATTGCAGCCTCTCCTACTTCCTTATGGGGTTGGTTCCACGTTCATGGGGACCCCATAATTGGGGTCCCACCCTGGGCTGTCCCACCCCCACGTCCTGCTAGGGGAGACCAGCACAGTGTCTCATGATGTCTGATTTGGAGACCCTGGGGTGGATAAATGCATCTTCCCCCCATGAACGAGTTTATTCCAGAACCATTCAAGCTGTTGCCAATCCCATCTGCAGTATTTGCCATATGGGATCTCTATAGGGTCTCTATAGAGGAGAGTGGCCCTTCTCTGGTGGGGGGGTCCCGGCCTCCCCTCCCCCTCTATGCTGGGAAAAGGGGGTTCAGAGTCCATTGAGGTTTCGGTGCCGCCCGTGCAAAGAGCAAATAGGGGTGGGGGGGAAGGCAGCCCTGGGGCCCTTTCCCTGCTGGGGGGGGGGGGGGGGGGGGGGAATGCTCAGCTTTGTGCTGGGAGCAGCTGGGGGACCCCATCTCACCGAGAGATCCTGGGAACGGCTTTTCCCTCTTTATGGGATGTGGGGCTTTCAGAAGGGACCCCAGATACGCCTGTAGCTGGTGGGGGGGGTGACCCCAATGTCACCCCAGCACTGCATCCCTGGCATGTGCAGAAAGGCTGTGAGCCAGCACGGTGCCAGGACCCCGGGGTACAGCCCCCCAAACCCCCCCCAGCACCACGTTCCCACGCCTCCGGGAGCACCGGGGGTCGGTGGGGTTGGGCTGGGCTGGGGGGGGAGGTACCGGGTTGGCGGTGCAGGGCAGAGCCCGGGCAAGCCCTGGGAAGGCAGGAGGTGTTGGAACGCAGCACGGGCAGGAGGAGCACCCACAGCCCCCGGGGGGGTTGCTGTGATGTTGGGCTGGGCGTTGGGTGCAGCTCTGGCAGGAGGAGCTGGCGGGGGGCCCGACCCCCTCCCCGACATCTCGCCCCCACGTCGGGCTCTGGATGGAGCTCCTTTTCCCACCTCTAGCATTGGGGTGTAGATATACCCCCCCCGCCCCCTCCCCAGGCAGCAGTGGGTGCTGTGGGGGGGCACTCTGCCCCAGATGGGGGTGGGCGCAGGGTTTTGTTGGCTGCTTTGCTTCATCCTTTCCCCCCTGCTCCCCTCCCCACTGTGCCCAGCTCAGCTGTCGTGTGCTTAATCCTGCCCGGCCAGGAGGGAGCAGCTGGGATGCAGGAGGGACCCCCTTGTCCATTGTCCTTTATGGTCATGTCCCTTGTAGACAGGGAAGCAGCAGGTCCTCATTGCCCCCCCACCCCACAGCCCCCCAGGTTGTCCCTCTTTGCTGTTTGAGAGGGAATGGGGAGCCCTGGGTGGCTCTGTGCCTCAGTTTCCCCATTACTGATGGTGACACTGACACACGATGGCCCCATCTGGGAGTGTACAGAGTAGGATGGCCCAGGATATACCCCTCCCCCCAAAAAAAAAATCTCTGGCAGATGCTTGAGGTCTGATGTGGGGCAGGTGTTTCCCATGCACCCAGCTTTAACCGTTGGGGGGGCAGAGCTTTGGTGAGGTGCTGGGGAAAACCTGCTGGGGGGAAGGACAGAGGGAGGGAGGGAAGGAAGGAGTGCATTCCCACAGGAGCTCGGGATCAACCTGGCTCCCTGGGGGGGCTGGAAAACAGCCCCCAGCGTTCTCCCGCCGGCCCCCTCGGGTGGGCACAGTGCCCAGCAGCCCAACCCCTCCCTGCAATGCTGGGTGAGCTCTGAGCAGGAGCTGTGCTGAGCTGCTGCTGTGGGACCCCACTGCCATGAGGGACGTGCTGGGGGGGGCCCTGTGGGACAGGGAACAGGTATTGATTTGGTTGGGGGGGATGACAGGGTGGGGGGGGTTGCTTTGTGCTGTTGGGTTATATGACCCCCCTTTCTTTCCCAACAAATTGCCTTGCTTGTGTTTAGGGATGTGGGGGAAGGGTACCATGGTGGGGTGGGGGGTGGTTTGCTGACACCCCCAGCTTCTCTCTGTGTCTTTCTGCTGTGCCCCCTTCCCCCAATTCTGGGGGTCTCTCATCCACAAATGATGCTGGGGGTGGTATTTCAAGGAGCTGCTTGGTGAGGCGTCCCCTCTCCAAAGACCTCTATGGTGGGGTGAAGGAAGGGGATGAACCCTGGGGACCCAGTGGGGCTATGAGAGGGGAAAGGGGGGGGTCGTCAAGGATCCAGCCTTGCTGCCCCATCCTGGGAATCCCCCATTCCTACAGCTCAGCCCCACAGAGCTGTGCCAGCAGCTGGGGGTGAGGGGAAATCCCTGCTGCTTCCCCACGTGGGCTCTGGGGCTGGAACAGTGGGCAGGAAGCAATTGTAGGGCTGGGATCCCCCCCCCATTTCCCCTTCAGTTCACCCCATCACAAGCACAGCGGTGTCACTGTGGGAACCCTTCCCAATAAAACCCCAAAAGTGGTTTTGCAGAGCGAGCATCTCTCGGTCTGTGGTCTGGGACCACGCAGTGCTGCTTTTGGGGTTGGGGGGGGATGGCTGGGGCCGTCCCCACATGGGGTTATTCTCTCTTTCTCCAGGCCAAGCGCAAACTGGACCTGGAGGGCCCTGAGCTCCACACACCGAAGGGGAAGGGCAGGACTCTGGTACAGGTCCCCAGCCCCAGGAGTAAGTTTGGGGCTTTGGAGGGCAACGGGAAGGGTGTGGGTTGGGGGGGAGGGGGGGGCAAAACCCATTTCCCTGCGCTGTGTCCCTTCCAGCACTGCCTGAGGTGACCCCCAGGAGCAGCACTCACTGCAGCTCTGTGTGCTGTTTCAGTTCATGGGCGCAGAGCTCCTGGGGCAGGGGGAGGCAGGGCATGTCTGGGGTATTTCTCCACCAGTGGAGGGATTACGCTGGGTTTAAAGGCCCCAGCATCCCATGCTAAGGAGGCGATTTGGTGGGGGGGGGTCCTCTCCTTGCAGCCCCCAAGTCCCCAGGTGAGAAGACACGCTATGACACCTCGCTGGGGCTGCTCACCAAGAAGTTCACCCTCCTGCTGAGCGAGTCACCCGATGGAGTGTTGGACCTCAACCGTGCCGCTGAGCTCCTGGAGGTGCAGAAACGCCGCATCTACGACATCACCAACGTCCTGGAGGGCATCCAGCTCATCCGCAAGAAGTCCAAGAACCACATCCAGTGGATGTAGGCAGAGCTGGGGAGCGGGGGGAAGGGATGATGGGGTGATGGAGGGGGTGTGGGGTGCTCAGGGGACCGTCTCTGCTTGCAGGGGGACGGGGATCTTTGAGGATGCGGCGGTGGCAGCCAGGCAGCAGGTGCTGCGTGGGGAGCTGGCTGAGCTGGGCAGAGCAGAGAGGGCTCTGGATCAGGTCCTGCAGGAGTGCAGCCTGCAGCTGCGGCAGCTGACAGATGATGGAGCCAACCAGAGATATCCTTTTGCTGTGGGAGATGGGGCTGGAGGGCTTGGGTACAGCCCTCTGAGTTCCTCTCCATCCCTGGGTGGGTGTCTGTGTGTTTCTGAGGTTGATGTTTGGGTGGGGAATTGAGCTGTCCTGCTCGTGGCCTTGTTTTTTCCTATGCCTCGTCCCACGCTGGCATACGTCACCTACCAGGACCTCCGTGCCATCAGCAGCTTCCAGGAGCAGACAGTGATTGCTGTGAAAGCCCCCCCGGAGACGCAGCTGGAAGTGCCTGACCTCAGCGAGGTGTGCATGGGGTCAGGAAATGGGGTTGGTGCTGGGATGCTGCCATTCCATCCCAACCCTGGGCCCCGTGGGTGCTGCCGTATCGCCCTGAGCAGTGTTGGGGTTTCTCCGTGGGTTTTGGGGTTGGGTGGTGCTGCGTGGGGCTGGGGGATGGACTTGGTGATCCATGTGAGTCCTTTCCAAGTGGGGATGTTCTGTGATAGTCTAAGGGTGTGGGGTGGGCTCTGGGCACCCGCTGAGCCCCCGCTCTGCCCACCCAGGACAACCTGCAGCTGCACCTGAAGAGCACCAATGGTCCCATCGAGGTCTACCTGTGCCCAGAGGAGATCCCGGAGGACAGCCCTACCAAGGACCATGATGTCCCCTCCAGCCCTGTGCTGCGGGACAGCAGCACCCGCCCCTCCCTTCAGAACAGCCCAGAGCCCCCCATATCCCTACAGCCGCCCGATGGCCACCGTGCCCCATCCTTATCCCCATCCCCTCCCCTCTCCAGCCCTGAGGAGCCCCACTCGCTGCTGGAGGTGGGCACGGGGCTGCTGGACTCCCCCCATCACCTCTTGCAGCAGACAGAGGACCAGCTGCCCTGCGCCCCTTCCTACCTGGACTCGGTGCCCTTCATCCCCTTCTCACCCCCCCTGGAGCAGGATGAATACCTCTGGGGGCTGGAGGGTGGCGAGGGGGTCAGCGACCTCTTTGAGGCATATGACCTGAGTGAGCTGCTGAAGGACTGAGCCTCCTCCGTTCCCCGCTGCTCCATCCCTGTCCCCACAGATGGGGAAGGGGGCACAGTGCCCTGGGTGGCTTTGCTGGGGGTTTGGGGGTCTCCACCCCAACTGCTCCATGGGTTGCTGGCAGACCTTTGGGTGCTTGGGTACCCCAGGCCTTTGGGTATGGGGTTGGGGGCACCCACCTAGCAGTAATGGGGCCCCTGCCAGAAGGAGCTGTGCTGGGGAGTGGGGAGAGGGTCACGTTTTGGGGGCACTCCAGTTGCTCCCCAGTTAGAGTGGTGCTTTGGGGTGATGGATGCTCGTTTGGAACCGTGTGGGGCACCAACTGTGTGGGTTGGAGCTGATGGTCAAGAGGCACTGAGCAGGCACTCCCCCTTGCTGTCACTGAAATATCAATAAGGAATAATGAGCCGAGATGGAGGCAACTTTTCTTCAAGAGGGGGATGCTCAACTTGGGGGTGGGGGCACTTCGCCTGCAGCCTCTTAAAACAGAGCCATGGGCAAATGGGGGCATCCATGTGCCGTGATGGTGCTTGGGGGGGATGGACACTGGGGCTTAATGGGGCAGAAAGGTGGCAGCTGGTACCTGAGGGGGGGGAATCAGGAGCAGTGTGGGACAGATCAGCTTTTCCCAAACTGCATCACTTTCCCCTCCTCACTGTGGAGGCTTTAGCATTGCTGGGGCTGTGCAGAGGTTTTCCCCTGGATGGCATCGGGCTGGGTATGGCCGTGTGGGTTTTCTCCATCTTGGTGATGTGGGGTCAGCATGGCCCCACCAGCACAAAGGATACACCCCAGGGAAGTCCTCCCCGTGGAAAAACATGTGTTAATTATTGCACTGTATTTATACAGGACCCACCTCTGACACAGTGCTGTTGGGGGCTCGGGATTCAGTTTTTGAGCGTATTTAAGTTGTCCTTTTTGGGTTTGCTCTGCTGCGGTTTGGTTGGGATGCGGTGTGGGTGAGAAATGTGTGGCATGTGGTGTTCTCTGCCTGGGAGGGGATGAAAGGAGATGAAATAAAACTTATGAGTTGTCAGCCAAATACTGATGTTGTTCATGGTGTGTTTTGGGTGTTCGATGTCTGGTGGTACCCAGTGATGTTGGGTGGTACCCAGTGATGTTCAATGTCTGGTGATGTCCAGTGGTGTCCAGTGGTGTCCAGTGATATCTGATGGTACCCTGTGTTTTCCAGTGATACTCAACATCTGGTGATGCCCCATAATGTTGAGTGGTATCCCATAATGCCCAGTGATGCTCAGTGTCTGATGATGCCCATTGATGTTAGGTGGTACCCAGAGATGCCTGCTGATGTCCAGTGGTATCCAATGGTACTCAGTGATATCCAGTGATACTCAGCATCTGGTGATGCCCAGTGATGTTGAGTGGTACCCAGTGATGCCCAGCGGTGCTCAGAGTCTGATGATGCCCAGCAATACCCAATGATGTTGGGTGGTACCCAATGATGTCTGGTGGTACCCAGTGATGTCCAGTGATACTCAACATCTGGTGATGCCCAATGATGTTGAGTGGTACCCAGTGATGCTCAGTATCTGATGATGCCCAGCAGTACCCCATGATGTTGGGTGGTACCCAGTGGTACCCAATGATGTCTTGTGGTAACCAGTGATGTCCAGTGATACTCAGCACCTGGTGATATGCACCGATGTCTAGTGCTGATATCCATTGGCACCCAGTGATGCCTGCTGGTATCTGGAGCCACAGCACGCGCTGGGGTTGCATTGCTCATCCGAAGGAGGAAGACGAAGATGAAGTGGGCTGGGTGAGTGGCACAGAGCGCTGTGCCCACGGCCCCATCCCCGTATCCCCGATGCTGGGCAGTCCCCGTACCGGCCGGGAGGTGGCGGGGCCATCCCAGGATAGGGATGCTGCGCTTGGGGTCCAGCCTCCCTCCACGCCCTGAGGATGCCCGTGTTTGGTGGGGGATTCCCAGCCAGGACCCGCCAGCAGCCCCCACATGTCTTCCAACGCGGCAGCCCCACTGGACCCGAAATCTCTTAACCCTGTGCCTGCCAGAGCCCTGCCGAGGGAAACGTTACCCAGTGAGCAGTGTGAGCTGCCGGGAACGGTCCTGCCAGTGCCAAAATCTGCAGCAGAACCGGTCTGAATGTTTGTTTGCAGGACCGGATGTTTGCAGGACGCTGCAGGTGCAAGAAATAAAAGGAGCGGGGGGTTGGGGGGGTGGTAGGCGGGTTTAGGGGCTGCGTGGTTTGGGGAACTGAATGGGGCCCAGGGTAACTTGGAGAGAAGGGAAGAAAGCAGATGGGGGTCTGACCTTCCCCCCCCCAAACCTGCCCTAGGGGAAGGGGCTCCCATAGAGCAGCCTTATGCTCGTGAGCCCCCCTGTTCCTGGAAAACCAAAGAGACTGGGGGCTTTTTGCCCTCTGCGGTATATTGCCAGCAGAAGTGAACCCAGAAACAGAGCAGTGGAGGACTTGGGGAATGTCCATTAGTGTGTCCCCCCGTGCCCCCTCCCTTCTGCTTCTCCTTATTTCCCAGCAGCTTCTCCTTTTTCTTCCTCCCCCCCTCTCCCCCAGTTATTATTCCCACTCTTCCTCAGCTCTCACTTCCCTGCGGGGATTTTTTTTTTTT